TTGAGGAAACTTTAATAACAGAGCATCGAATGAACACTACTAATACACTAACATAGATAACACCTTTAACTGGTTTGAAGAAAGAAGTTTGACTGCACACAGAAGAAGCCTAAGAAGATAATTTGGACATTACTAACAGATTAATTTACAAGTTAATATATCACTCAGCTTTCTCTTTCTCCCACTATATACCCTCCCTATTTTTCTATTTAAGCGAAATACCTCTCCTTTTTAGGAGAGTAAATAAAGCCTTTATTAAAAAGAAAAAAGAAAAAAAAAAGAAAGGGGTCTTGCTACCTTCAGATCCAAACTCTGGCCAGAAAAGCATCTGAGTTGGAGGCAAGCAGGAAGGTGAGAAGGACTCCCTTACCTACTTGCACCTGGGTGGCAAACTGGTGCCCCCCCCGCCACATCAGGGGAAGAGGGAGAAGACTGCCTTGCCAGCAGTGTTCCCTCTAAGCTGAGTTAGTGTGAGCTCACAGTTTTTTAGTCTCCGGCTCACACATTTTTGTCTTAGCTTAGGACGGATGGCTCCAGAGCAAACACATTTATGCCACAACCAAATCACTGGCTCACAACTTTAATGCCAGTCGCTCACAAAGTAGAAATTTTGCTCAGAAGACTCCACAGCTCAGAGGAAGCATTGCTTGCCAGTCTATACAGCAAACAGCTTCCAGTTTCCTGAACTTCCTTTGAAATCCTCAGGCTGGGAAGAGCACGTGGCATAAAAACCAGTACAGACCACAGCAGCAGCCTTACACTCCAAGCGAAGCCCCAGGAGCCTGCAGTGGGTGTTGCACAAATAGAAGGCACCACCAGGCAAGGAACTAGAGATGGGAGCTCACTCCATCATGCGGCAACTCGGGTCTCGAACTGCTGAACTACTGACCTTCCACAGCCTGCAGTTGAGCCAACCTAGCAGTTCGAAAGCAATAAATTGCAAGTAGATAAATAGGTACCACTTCGGTGGGAAGGTAACAGCGGTCCGTGTGCCTTGGTGTTTAGTCATGCCAGCCACATGACCACGGAAACGTCTTTGGACAGCGCTGGCTCTTCGGCTTTGAAACGGAGATGAGCACTGCAACCCTAGAGTCGGACTCGACTGGCTTTCGAGCAAGGGAACCTTTACCTTACCAGGCAAGGACTGCCAATGCATGCCACCCCACACACCTCCTGCTGGCCAAAAGGAGGTGGTCTCTCACCAACAACAGGTCAGGCAATATACACTGATCCCCATGAAAAGGTTCCCAATCCCAATCAGGCTTGCCCGCTGGTCCGAGCAAGCAGGAGTTCCACCAGGTCTTGCTGACTACAGTCTGCCTTGACCTCGTCCCCTTCCTTCCGCAAGGCACTTCTTCACACAGCGCACCATGAACAAATGGAATTGGCTGCTTCAACATGTGGTGAGGACCACTGGCTTTTACAAAGTCTAACAGGCCCACTTCCCTATTAAAGACAACTTCATATAGAAGGATATATTTATCAACCAGCTATTAGCGGAGGTAACTAAATGGAACCCCCATGTCCAGGAGCAGTATACCACTGAACTGCAGGCACTGGAAATGAATGACGAGGGAGGGCTGCTGCCCTCAAGCCCGCTAGCAGCATCCCTGAGAGCATCTGATTGGCCACTGCTGGAAAAAGGAAGTGGGACTGAGCAGATCTTTGGTCTGTTTCCCCCGAGGGATACTCTCACACCTTCATTCCATGAGTCTGACAGACTAAGTTTGGGTAGCAGCATCCCTTTAACCTTCCTCCAGTGGTTGCAAAGAGATTTTTTGCTTGCTTCATGCATGGAATAAGAACAGGAGTCGCACAGCCAGGCTGAAGGGAAAGGCCCTGGGTTATTGTCGACATGCTGACAACCCTGGCGTCCAGATCTGCACAAAAGGGCCCCAGAGAGGCCTCCCTCTAGGTTCCCGTCACTTATGGATATGACTCAGTTCTCAGTACTAGCGCCACCCACTCTTGATGGCAACTTGGGCTTTGTTCGGTTATGCCCTTTACCACTCCGCTCATCCTGATCCCGTCCGTTCATGTGCCATAAATCCAGGACAACATTCCACCTGGTAGTTTAACTGGCAAGGTTTTATTCTTCCTTGTAAAACAGGGGTTTTGTGGGTGTGGGTTTGAGTCTTTATCAGGAGCCCCTACGATCTCCCTGCCAGTAGGGTTTATTTGTTTCTCCATTAGGATCCATCATGCCTTGTGTGGGAATGGTGCCGAAATGCAATTCCACACAGCGGCTCATTTAACTGCCTTTCTGCATATCTCTGGTTCTGTTTTTAATGGCCGCTGTGACATTAGAACAAGACGGCAATTTTGAGAAACACAGATGAATGATAGGGCAGGGAGAGGGTGGAGGCAACGAGGCAGGCAGCTTTATGGAGACAATGACGTGCTCCTCTCATTTGCACAGGCATACAGGGAAGGGCTTGGTGTGCGGAAACTTCAGTAGGCGGGGAGCTAAAGAGGTCTTGGTATGGTTTTCACGGGTGCCTCTCTTTTATCCTGCCCTTTCCCCAAGGAGCTCGGGGCAAGATATAGGGTTCTCCTGGCCATGGTGTCTTCACAACTACCCAGTGAGTTAGAAATGAGAAACAGTTGGCACAAAGATACCTGGGTGGGCTTAATGGCTGAGCTGGGAGTTGAACCTGAGGCTCTGTCTACACACACCAGAGTGCTTGTGTTTGCTGTGGAACACCACAAGATCTTTGTATCACACACACGCACTGGGAGTTTTGTGCCTCCCAGATGCATGCTGGCGGTTTGCTGTTTGTGCCCACGGCATGCAGGGAGATTGTCTTTAATGCTCCCCCCTTTCATCTTCTCTCACCTCCCCACAGAGCCATTATTGCTGTGGTCAAAAAGAAAAGAGCCAGTGGGCATTTGGGAGGTACAAAACTCACACCACATATGTGATACAAAGCCCTTGTGCTGTCTCCCTACAAGCAAGAGGGCTTTGTAATGTGTACATGCACTCGGATGCTCTAACTACACCAAGGTAAAAGTAAAGGTAAAGGTTCCCTTGCTCGAAAGCCAGTCGAATCCGACTCTAGGGTTGCGGTGCTCATCTCCGTTTCAAAGCCGAAGAGCCAGCGCTGTCCGAAGACATTTCCGTGGTCATGTGGCCGGCATGACTAAACACCAAGGAGCACGGAACGCTGTTACCTTCCCACCGAAGTGGTACCTATTTATCTACTTGCAATTTCTTGCTTTCGAACTGCTAGGTTGGCAGGAGCTGGAACTAGAGACAGGAGCTCACCCTGTCTTGCGGCCCCCGGGTCTTGAACTGCTGAACTACTGACCTTCCACAGCCTGCAGTTCAGCGTCTTAACCACTTGAGCCATCGCAGCTCCATAACTACACCAAAAAGACCGCCAAAAAGACAAATAATTGGGTCCCAGACCAAATCAAACCTGAACTTTCCCTCAAAGATAAAATGGCAAAACTGAGGCTATCGTACTTTGCTTACATTATGAGAAGACCAAAGTCACCGGAAAAGACAACAATGCTAGGAAAGTTGAGGGCAGCAGGAGGAAAAGAGGAAGACCCAACATGACTGACTTGATCAAGGAAGCCACAAGGGCCCTCAGTTTGCAAGACACGAGAATGGCTGCTAATGACAGGACGTTTTGGAGGACGTTAATTCAGAGAGTCAAGTCCGAGGCGACTTGGCACTTCACACACACACACACACACACACACACACACACACACACACACACACACACACAGCTACACCGCACGGACGTGGCAATCTACACCAATGACTCGCTGACTCCTACCCCTAAAGTAAATGAGAATAAATGGACCCCCCTGACTATCTACTTCTTCTCAAGTGCCCCATCTTAGAGCACTCTCTCTTTCTCTCTCTGGGAAGTTATTTCCATTCAAGTCCGTTCTGACTTGCTGCCATAGTTGTGAAACTCACTTTTTAAAAAAGCAGCCCCCACCCTCCATCCTGGGCCACAATCCTCCACAATTTTCAGCATTAAGACCTCATCTGATTCTCTTGTTTTGGGGTAGGTTTCTTGTGGATACTGATTAACTAATACTGATTTCTGAGAATTATTCAAGATTCTCGAGCTGCTTTTTGTGTATCATATTTTTAGGGTCTTATTTTAAAAAATACTTTATAAAATAAGATTAGTAAGAAAAGTGTATAGTGTTTACAAAATAATTAGATGTGAAAGTGTATGTATACAGGCCTGACCCAGTTGTGGGTGTTGATGTTCAACTCTTTGTGTGAGAATGGCAATTTGTATGTACATATGTGTCAGATAATGCGCACGCCATCCAAAAAAGCAATGCAGCCAGGACAGACTGTATTCTCACTCCGATGTGCATCTCATAATCTGCAGCCATGAATTTTATCCATGCATAAGTAGTATTTCCAAAGCTGGACTCTGTCATTGAACTACACTGAAATACTAACACCATTCATTTGTTGCAGGGGCTCTTATGTTGTGGCACCTGGACTAAAGAACTCCTGAAATTTGCCCTATCATATTGAGATTTAGATGCCAGGCAAAAAGTATTCTATTTTAGTTTTGTCCAGGCTTTTTGATGGTTTGTTGCTTTGGACTGAGGACATCTAGACCACTGAAATAATTTTTTTCTTTCTTGGTACAGAACATTTAGCAAAGAATATGTATTACCTTTCCTGTGTGTTTACTACACCCTTTCATTCTCCACACCCTGCTCCTCCTGAGCAACCTTCAGGTATTTCTCTAATAATAATAATTATTATTATTTATTAAATTTATATCCCACCCTCCCCGCTATGGCGTGTCTCCCTGTACCTCTCCCATCCTTTTCCAGCTCTCAACACCACTTACCTCTCCATCTGTGTGAAGTGTCCACACTCCTCAATGTGGCCACGGGTCAGCTGAGGGATCTAGAAAGGAATACATTCAAGTCAGATCCAGTACAAGATACCATACTTCTGTGCACAACTGTACCGCATCACTTGAGAGGTGTGTACCCTGGGGGCTATAACTCAGGAGTAGAGTGAATGCTCTACATGCATAAAAAAGGTTCAGTCCTTAGCACAAGGCTGGGAAAGGCCTTTATAAAAAGCTTTGAAGAGCCCACTGCCCGTCTGAATAAACAACTCCAGTTTTTAAAAAATATATGAACAGCAGACACATGGTGCTGTAAGTTGGACTCTGGTCACACTGGAGCAGGAAGGAAGGTGTTTAACTATCCTCTCCTCAATATAAATTTTTAAAAAACAAAAACTATCCCCTCCTCCCATGGTTTTGGAAAAAGAACCACCCCACACACACACTGTTAGCCTTGGAATGAAAATGACAAGCACAGAGGACAGGTAGCTGTATTCTTTCTTTGAAGACCAGTGCTAGGGGAGGAGGAGATACAAAGAAAGAATTGGTTTCGATTGATGAAAACAGGTGGCTGCTACTTCTGTTTTTAAAACATTGGGACAATCGGTTCATGGATTTTCTAGCATCCTGCCCAGTTAGACCCTGAACTCCTAGTGGGGATTATCTTCCGAGACGGCCAATGGAAAGGCACAGTTTGGTCCAGATGAGTGTCAGCAGCCTGCTATATGAGACAACAGTACTGGCTGCTCACCCATTCTTCCATACGCTTGCTCATATTTGGATGCAGAACTTTGTCTTTCCCAGCGGTGACCATCAAAGCAGGCACTCTGATCTGTGGATTTAAGGAGGCAACGAGAACAAAGATCATTTGCACCAGGGAAAAGCCATCCATTATTGTTAGAGTTGCCCGTTCAGGTCAGGAATAATTGCATCGGAGACATGCAGGGCAGAGAAAGCTCACGTGAAGCTGCTAAATCTTTTGTGAGTAACCATCCCCTGGGGATAGAAATGAAGCTACGTATATGGAGCTAAGCTGACCAGGCAGCAGCGATGTTGGAACTACAGAGACAAATCTCAGAGGATTAGTTATGCTAGGCTGATTTCGCACTAGAGCTGCCTTGATGTTGCGCAGCCGATTGCCCTGATACTATTGGTCAATTTCACACCCGAAGCCGCGGGGCTGCATTTTGAGTCGCGGCTTCGCCCGATTTCCCCCGCAGTTTCGTGATCCTGTTTTTTGAGGATCACGAAACTGCGGAGGAAACCGGGTGAAGCCGTGGGTCAAATGCAGCCCCGCGGCTTCGGGGGGGAAATTGAAGTATAGGAGCCTTTTGTAGACCCCCCCCCCCAAAAAAAAGTATTCAGGGATTAGTGATAACAACACCTTTCTGTACTTAGGCATAGATCTTATCCCGCTCTCAGCTGGATTCAGGTCCAGTAGCACCTTAGAGACCAACATGATTTGGGGGGGGGGGTACAAGCAGCCTTCATCAGCCTTGACTTTCAAAAGCTCATACCCTGGAAAATCTTGTTGGTCTGCAAGATGCTTCTGGACCCGGAACCTGGCTTGTGGATGGTTCTTTTGACCTGGGAAGAGAGGGGGGGGGCAATTTTTAGCAGTTTCCCCCACCTACTGCAGATCTCCACTGCATTCCCCCTGGTGTTCCTGGGCATCCACTGACCCCTAGGGGGAGGGGCTGATTTCAGGAAGCCCAACATGCCGCAGTAGCCAAGCTGTCCTTCATCTAGGGCAGAACTTCTTTTGCTGGACAAGATCCACCCCTACAAAGATCATCATCCTCAAACCTGGTTACGTATCACTCTGCAAAGCCACTGCTGGCTCTTTACGTGTCATGTCGCTCTGGTCCCAAAGTTTACAATTTGTTTTTGTTGCCCTCTGCGCCCCTGTAATACAAATGCCTGGCAGCTGGAGCTAACCCCTCTGCCACAGCGAGCCTTTAAGGTGTGGCAAGACTGCCAGGGCTCGAGTCTCAAACAAGAATCAATAACCCAATGAGAACCTAATGAAAACAGAGCAAGGTTTCACTGGACCCCACCGTCGCAAAGTGAGCTCCAAAGCATCTCAGTCGTGATATCTTGGCACTCCAGAGAGTTGTTCAGAGGGATGGTTGCCTTCTGCAGGGGCAGGGGCCGATCCAACCACAGCCACATCATTTGGCTGGGCTAACTTGAAGAAAGTTGACAGGAAGAAAGTTGATTCACTTAAAATGGGGTGCCAGAGGAGAGTTTTATGGATAGTGTAAACTGCCAAAAAGACAAGTAAGTGGGTTCTAGATCCAATCAAGCCTGAACATTCCCTCAAAGCTAAAATGACTAAACTGAGGATATCGTACGGTCACATTATGAGAAGACAAGAGTCACTGGAAAAGGCAATAATGCTAGGGAAAGCTGAAGGCAGCAGGAGGAAAAGAGGAAGACCTAACGTGAGATGAACTGACTCAATAAAAGCCACAAGGGCCCTCCGTTTGCAAGACCTCAGCAAGGCTGTTAACGCTAAAATGTTTTGGAGATCATTAATTCATAGGGTCACCGTAAAGTCAGAAGCAACTTGATGGCACTTAACACATCCCCCCCTTGAGGTACAGAATTTGGATTATTCAGTGCAAAAATCCACCTGGCTCTCACTCTAGGATAGAGACAGAACAGGATATCCACAATAGAGCCAGTGTAGTGCAGCGGATAGGATACTGGCCTCTGGACAGGGAAATCTGGCGTTCAAATCACCACATTCAAGTAACATTTACCTTGGGCCAGTCACTAGATCCCCTCAAAAGAGGCTATCATGAGGAAAGGTGGCATATAAGGGGGATAAATAAAGAACAGGATTTTTGCTCAGAGGATTAGAGACAAAGAGCAGTAATCTTCCTAAAAGGCTAAGACAGTGTGGGCATAATCTCCTATCCTGTTCTGGAGAAGCCACTAGGTACATGCCCTTGAATTCCACAGGAGGAGGCTGGGATGTAACTGGAATGTATGAAGACAGGGACCTCTAGTCAGAGCCATTTTAAAAGAGTAACAATCCCACTTCCTTCCCACCCATTTATCAAATGTTTATCTCACTCTTCCGCCCAGCAGCTCTGAACTGAACACAAAGTTGTCCCCTCCCCATTTGATCCACCCAGCAACCCTGAAGAGTGGGTTAAGCTGGGGCAGAGTGACTGTCTCACGGTTACTCCGTGACCTTCATGACCAAAGTAGGAAGTTGAACCTGGGGCTCATCAGCTCGGATCCCTGAGTAAATCTCTGCTGACAGACGAGGGATTCCGTCAGCAGAATGGAACTGTCTCACCGCCCACTGCGGTCCCAGGAGGAGAAAAAGTCCTGTACGCTGCCCTTGGGAAAAGGGCAGGATGAAAATGCATAGACAATGCAAACTTCTAGAACTCCAAGGAGAAGGCACCATTTCTTTCCCCCACTCCCAATACCTTTCTGCCTTGTGCAGAGGCGTTCCAGGTCCAGTTCGCCTGCATGTTCCGGTACCAGTTCAGTGGGCCCCTGAAAGACAAAAAGGGTAAGGAGCAGACTTATTAGACGTTCTTGCTGCTGCTATACCCCCTTGGTGCCCATGTCCAGTGCACAGCTATGTAGCCCTCTCAGTACAGGCTTTGCAGTCCCCAAGCATAATACAGACCTGTTGGATCAGCCGGGGTGGGGGGTGGTGTCTGTTCCTTGCCTAGCATCTTTGTTTTCAGCAGTGGTTAGCCAGATCAATCTAGAAGTCATCATAAGCATGGCACAAAAGGAATGGACATCCCACGTTTGCCCCAAGTGTCCAAAGATACAGGCCGCCACTGTCTTATGACTGCAAATGCCATTTGGTTAACTATGTGCTTCACAGGCCTATAGCTCCAGCAGTAATCACAAGAAAGAGGCAACTGTAATCTTTCCTGGACACTGGCCTAGCCCAACAGCAACAGCAGTTTAGATGCTACTACTTCATGCAGTTTACCAGTTTTTGTGTGTGTTTTTTTAAGTGCCGGTACTTTTACACAGGGCTGAACCAATTTCAACAGGAATCGGGAGAGTCCCCCTGCCCATGTGCCAGTATTCAGTACCAGTGAGTATCACAAAAAAACGCTGGCCATTTCCACACAGCCTCTTTTTCTCTGTTAGCATACAGGTGCACCATCTTATGAGAGCCAGCTTGGTGCAGTGGTTAGAGCGCAGACTCTAATCTGGGAAAACTGGGTTTGATTCCCCACTCCTCCACATGCAGCTGCTGGTGTGACTTTGGGTCAGTCACAGTTCTCTCAGAGATGTTCTCTCAAGAGCATTCCTTGAAAGCGCTCTCTCAGCCCCACCTACCTCACAGGGTGTCTGTTGTGGGGAGGGGAAGGGAAAGGAGATTGTAAGCCGCTCTGAGACTCCGAGTGAAGGATGGGGTATTAATCCAATCTCTTCTTCTTCGCTTAGAAAATGTACTGTATATATTTAATTTAATTTATATTTAATTGGGGGAATGATCTTTTAACGTTATTTTATAGCATGCTTTTAGTCTGAAATCTCTTTATTTTGAGCTGCTCAATGATCTATGTTTTTATGCCCCAGGTGGGTTTTTAACTCTTTATTTTAATAACCCTTAATGTTCTATGTTTCTATCATGCTTTCTTTTGTATGCCACCTTGGGCTGGGTTCCCCGGAGAGGAGGCACAGCATTGCCCCCTGCCTACTGCAATCTGGCCCAAGGATAGTTCACATCATAAAAATCAAACTTTATATAAACTGTAAAATAAATGTTAAAAAACTAAAAGCATTCAGGGAAAATGCAAACTGGGAAAACTGCACCCAAAAGATTTGAGAGATAAAAAGGGAGAGATAAATTGAGAGCAATCAAATCTATGGAACAAAATCACTTCAGGGAATAAAAACTTCAAGGGCCACCTGGAATAACACTTTCCCAGAAGACTCAAAGGAAGGTCATTTCTGCACTTACCTGAATCCAGACTTCTGATACTGCTGGATGTAATACTGGAGAACTGGCTCTGGCAAAAGGGAACTTGGGGGTGGATCTTCAGGAAGTCCCACCAGAAGTCCTCCTGTAACACAAGGAAGACTATTACAGCTAAGACCAACATGTTTACTTTTTAGCTCCCCAGTAGCGATTTGGGGACCTTACACGGATGGCCCAGGCTCATCAGACCTCAGAAGCTAAGCAGGGTCAGCCCTGGTCAGTATTTGGATGGGAGACCGCCAAGGAAGACGAGGGTTGCTTTGCAGAGGCAGGCCATGGCAAGCCACCTCTGAACGCCTCTTGCCTAGAAAACACTACAGGGTCACTGTAAGTTGCTTGGGACTTGACAGCACTTTCCACCACCAGAACTCATGAGTTTGGGATAACATCCACCCAACTTAAATCTTTTTTTTAATTGATTAACATTCATGGCTTCCTACCCTCTTTTTTGTCATTGTTATTGTGTCAATGGCTAGTTTTTCTTTCTTTTTTCATTCTTTACATCAGAGGTGTCGAACTCATTTGTTACGAGGGCCAGATCTGACATAAATGTCACTTTGTCGGGCTGGACCATGTATGCCATAAAACGTAATGCCAGGTACCGGAGATAGAAACTGTATAAAGGACAGCAGCTGGTAAGCTCCGAGTTGGCATATCCTCACTGCAAAGCCCCGTGGGCTGGGAGTGGGGTGCAGAGGAAAACACACATACGTGGACTGGAGAGGCAGCAGGGAAATACTGGGCAGATGGCTCCCACGATGCTTGATTGCTGCAGATGAGGTTGTTCTGCCGTGCTGAAGCCACAATGGAGTGGCTCCGCCTACTCCCCCAGCACTCCCTCCCTTGCACCAGTTGCTTGTGGGCCGCACAAGAGCCCTGGATGGGCCGGTTCTGGCCCTCAGGCCTTATGTTTGACACCCCTGCTTTACATGATTCCAACTGATCAGGGATCATGCACTGGATTGTGCTGTTGCAGTGCTATACAGCCACTCCGTTTAGGCCAATTGCTGACCTCATTAAGGGTAAAGGAAGCCAATTTATAATGTGGCCAAGGCTCCTTTGTACATATCCCATGGGTGATCTTAATCGATCACAAAACAAAAAGGTTTTGCATCTCTTTGGCATCACCCCCCTAAAAAATGCTTATCGTTATTCTGATGGAGATGTCTGTGAAGCGCCCCCGAGCCAACCTCAGCCCCAGGTTGTAATGAATGCGCTGCTGCCGCAAATGGCAGGGCCCAGAGCTTGGAGCAAGACTGTTTCAGAACAGGAACACAGCTGCACGTCTGCCTATCAGCTCCCGTCAACTCACACATTTCATTTGCATCTGTCTGCAGTCTGTCAGCACAGCACTATCTGAAAACTGTTGCATCTCCCTGAATAATTTTTTAAAAATGGCACTACATTCATGTATGGGAGCCCTGACCCGCATGGCCCAGGCTAGCCCAATCTTGTCAGATCTTGGAAGCGAATCAAAACACTAAAACTGGAGGTACACAGTAAGGAAGCTACAGCCAAACAAAACTGTGTATAAAATAACTTACAGATAATATCCAAACCTTTAACAATCATGTGAAAAGAATTTTTATGCTTTCACATTATTATAGTATCAAAACTATTTATCCATTGTTGTAATACAGAGAACCACAAAGGATGAAGTCGAATGTGTATACAGCTGATACATTAAATATTTGGTGTCCACTCGGGATATGCCTGATAAGGAATACTGCAAAACACAGGAATAATGATAACAGAGATTCCAGTTGTTTTCCTTCACGCAATGGCTTGCTGTGGTTTATCGCGTTCCACCCAAGCTTCTTCAAAAGTAGAACCACACAGTCAATTGCTTCAGGAAAAAGACTGCAAACAATATTCGCAACACGGCATATAGCTCACAGTCTCAAGTTGATGCAGACGCTCAATAATAACAATTATTGTCAAAGGTTTGAATATTATTTGTAAGTTATTGTATACACAGTCCTTGGAAGCTAAGCAGAGTCGGCCCTGGTTAGTACTCAGATGGGAGACCACCAAGGAAATCCAGGGTTGCTACTCAGGGGCAGGCAACGACAATCCACCTCTGTTCATCTCATGCCTTGAAAACCCCAAGGGGTCACCATAAGTCAGCTGTGACTTGACGGCAAGTCCCACCACCAACGCATAGGAACTGCAGGCTGAAGTATGCTGATCAGCATAGATAAGATACACTCTTCTCAAATCAGATGAAGCAGTAGAAGTCTCTGGTTAAGGACCAAATTTAACCCCATGGTGATGGGACCGGAACTCCTCTCCTGTCTCTGGTTTACGCTCTTACCTCGTTCTCGTACATTGCTGACACTAAGAGAAACTCCTGGCAGCTGATCCTGTAAGGAAAGCAAACTGGGTGAAGAAAGTGGGATTAGCAGCCAGGTCAGCATAAGGGGGGTTGGGGAGAAAAGCCGTGTAGCTCTGCAGATTGTTTAGTGGATCTAAGGCCTTTGGAGTTGCTAAGCTCAGCAGCTGAAAACTGAAGGTCGCAAGGTAGTCAAATATTCAAGGGAACAGTGAAGATGGGGACTTCCTTCAGATCAGGAGAAAGCTCTGGCAACTCTGAAAGTTAACTCTCTAAATAATCCATAAATTGCTACAAGAGGTCAGACCAACAGCCCAGCTAGCTCAGTGTTCTTGTGGCTGTATGAAACCCAGCTACAATAAATAAAGGGGAGGGGGGCAAGATAACTCAAGTTTTTGCCAAATTGAGGATCATTCTCCAGTTGGCAAAAACCATTAAGTCAGTTTGCATACATTTCCTTAGCTTGAGTAATGTGGTCTGCTTCCACTAGTCAAAGAGAAGGGTTCTTCCCTCTGGAAATCCTATGGAGCCCTCACTGCAGTTTCAGAGATGTCATCTGATATTCTCCACGTGCTTCAAAGCCCGTCTCTATACCCATAAAGGCAAGAAACTTGCTTTGGTTCTCTCTTTTTTTAAAAAAAGCCAAAGTTCTTCTTTGCAAAACTCAGTATCTCCATCCAACCTTCAAAGAAGCTGTACATCCTGAACTTTATCCCGAGAAAGACAGTGTGCCAGGCAACTGAGAAATCCTCCTGCGTGGTAGCTACAGCCATCTCCTACAGAAACTGGGTAGGGATAGCCGTGCCTTCCAGACAGATATCTGCCGCACGGCCCCCTTTTAGGACTTTCCCATTGGCTACCACCATGCCTCCCCCTTCCCTCTGTAGCCACAGCCATCCACGGAGCCCACTGACCTCTTTCTTAGTTGTCCGGATCATGACGGTGAAAGTCCTTCTCAGGTTCTTTTCCAGTTCAGCCTCTGCCACACCCTGTTAGGAGAAACGTAAAATACAAAGAACTCAAGAAGTTGTTCTCCAAGCTGGGAGCAAGTCACCGGGGAGGGGGTGTAATGAGAGAGTGCTGTTGAATATACAAAGCTGCCTTATACTGAATCAGACCATTCATCTATCAAGGTCGGTACTGTCTGCTCAGACCAGTGGTGGCTCTCCAGGGTCTCAGATCGAGGTCTTTTAGACAGCACCTACTACCTGGTCCTTTTAACTGCGGGGACTTTTCACTTGCAAAGCAGTCCTCTACCACTGAGCCACGGCCCCTCCCTGTTTCTGAATCCATTACAGCAAGATCCTCTTTCCTTCCGGCTATTCCAACCGGTATTCCCCAATGTCCCCAACATGAGCTAAGTCAAATTCTGCCTCATGTTTGCCAGCCCTCCTCCTGGAATCCGTTTTTGCTTATTGTGAGCTGTAACATTTTTTGGGGGGGAGGGGGGAATTAATATGCAACCAAAGCTTCACTTGATAAATTACACCCATTAAGCAGATTAAAGCAGAGCTAAGACGCTGAATGACTGGCCTGCCTTTCTGTCTTCTTAATGGGCTCCGTCTAACCAGCACCACGACCCCTGCAAACCAAGGCATGTAGGGCCCTGCAGTTTGAGCAGCGAGAGGCTCTGTGGGCCTGTCTCTTTCCACTGGGGCTTTGTTCAGCTGCCATCTGAGGGAAAAAGGGGGTATTTTGTCTTCCTGCAATTAAACTGCTCTGCTGATTCTGGTTTTTCCTTATAAGCGACTAAAGAGAAAAGGAAACAAAAGAAGAAAAATGTGCGCTTCCGGAGATACAAATGTCTCCATAATGCAACCCAGAAGTCGCTCTTGGCCCTGGCACTCCGTTTAGTCACACTGAGCTGTGCTTCCCAATTTCATACACTGGAGCGAGGGTTTTTTGTTTGCTTGTTTCATTTTCCCCGCAGAGGAGGCACCACAAGCTTGTCCCCTTCCCCCCCCCCCCAAAAATAATTTTGACACATTAATGGACAGATATTCCTCCCCCACACCGGGAGCAAGTAGGGTTATTATTCCCCCCCCCTTTTTAAAAGTACTTCTAAATACTTAGGATAAAGCTAAAGTCCAATGGAGATTTAATTGTAAACCCATTGATCGCAGTAGGACTTGCTTGCAAGTAAGCATGCAAGACCAACAGTGGCCTACTTGGATTTTCAAAAGGCTTCTGACAAGATACCTCACCAAATACTCCTGAGTAAACTTAGCAGTCACGGGATAAGAGGATGGGTTCTCTCATGGATTAGAAACTGGTTAAATGTCAGGAAGCAAATTGTAGGAATACTACTAGTCATGGTGACTGAGGGGATCCTCCACATTCAGAGGTACTACATCTCTGATTCACAGAGCCAGGAGGCAACATCAGGGGAAGGCCTTGGCCTCCATGCCCTGTTGTTGGCCCTCCAGAGGAACTGGTTGGCCACTGTGGGAGAGGATGCTGGACTAGATGGACCACTGGTCTAAACCAGCAGAGCGCTTCTTGTGTTCTTAAGTAAAAATCTCACGACAAGGGGCCCAAAAATAGCTCCATGGTGCATGCAGAATGCATCTTGATTTATTTCCCCCCTAATATGGTGGCTCAAGTGGTTAAGACGCTGAACTGCAGGCTGTGAAAGGTCGGTAGTTCAGCAGTTCGAGACCCAGGTGCCACATGACGGAGTGAGCTCCCGTCTCTAGTTCCAGCTCCTGCCAACCTAGCAGTTCGAAAGCAAGAAATTGCAAGTAGATAAATAGGTACCACTTCGGTGGGAAGGTAACAGCATTCCGTGCGCCTTGGTGTTTAGTCATGCCGGCCACATGACCACGGAAACGTCTTCGGACAGTGCTGGCTCTTCGGCTTTGAAACGGAGATGAGCACCGCAACCCTAGAGTCGGACTCGACTGGCTTTCGAGCAAGGGAACCTTTACCTTTACCTTTAATACAGTACTGCACTGCAGCCACTAGGGGTGCAGGGAAGGCAGAATACAGTAAAGAGCAGTCCCTCTGACTATCCACTTGCTGTGTCTTTCTGCGAAGTTTACTACAAGGAGGCAAACACGTGCATACCCTGCTAAACCCATCAACTAAGCCAGCACTGGAGCAAGGTAAGACCAAGCAGGAAAGTTCAGGGCTACTACAGTAATCGCCAGGATACAGGCTCCTAATCAGATTGTTGTTTCCAGCAGTCTGTTTCCTTCTTCCTCTCCTCCCACCCAGCTCCATAGTTTTGTGTGCTCAGGCTAGGATTGCCAACCTGCAGGTGGGGGCTGGAGATCTCCCAGAATTACAACTGATCTCCAGACAACAGTGATCAGTTCCCCTGGAGAAAATGGCTCCTTTGGAGGGTGAACTATACAGCATTATACCCTGCTGAGGTCTCTCCCCTCCCCTCCCCAGGCTCCACCCCCAAACCTCCAGGAATTTCCCAACCCAAAGATGGCAACCCTAGCTCAGCCAATAAATCTTTTGAAAGCGTATCGAGAGCAGGGAAGGGCAGTCCTGAAAATTCAATGGAACTGAAATAACTGGAAATTGGAGCTGACTGGCTTGGTTGGCCTAGAGAGAGCAAATGGAGGAGAAAAGTGTGGAAAAGGGGAAGAGAATTTTTTAAAAAACAGGAAAAGTTGCTTTATTTTCTACAGCACACTAACAGGGCTACTACTTTCTCAGTCCGGGCTCCAAGTTGGTGGAACTCTCTGCCTACTAACATCAGGCACTTGTTATAACTCTGCTGGGCCTGCAAGGCAGAGATGTTCCACCAAGCATATGGTTGAGGACAGCAATGGCTTTTAAGGGTTTCAACTGTTTTTAACAACTATCCAGCCCACTTACTGCTTTTTACCCCCTCCCCCCCCATGCCAATTTAAATTGGGAGATCAGAACTTTGCACTACAGCACCATGTAGATGTTTAGGTTTTATGGAGCTGCGGTGGCTCAAGTGGTTAAGACACTGAATTGCAGGCTGTGGAAGGTCGGTAGTTCAGCAGTTCGAGATCCGGGTGCCGCAAGACGGAGTGAGCTCCCGTCTCTAGTTCCAGCTCCTGCCAACCTAGCAGTTCGAAAGCAAGAAATTGCAAGTAGATAAATAGGTACCACTCCGGAGGGAAGGTAACAGCATTTTGTGCGCCTTGGTGTTTAGTCATGCTGGCCATATGACCATGGAAACGTCTTCAGACAGTGCTGGCTCTTCGGCTTGGAAACGGAGATGAGCACCGCAACCCTAGAGTCGGATTCGACTGGCTTTCGAGCAAGGGAACCTTTACCTTTACCTTACTTTTAGATTATTTATTGTATTTTATATGAACTTGTGCACTGCCCTAAACCTGCTTGCAGGGAGGGCAGTATAGAAGCTTAATGTAATAATAATAAAGAAAAAAGCAATCAAGTGTCATTGAACCTGGCTTGCTTTTAATAAACAGTTCACAACTTAAAAAAAACAAAAAACCCTTTCAGACATTGGTTTACCTCAAAGAAGTCAGAGTGTGTAAGGAGCAAATTTTACAGCCCCTCATCACTCTAGGCCGACCAAGCCAGTCAGCTCCAATTTCCAATTGTTTCAGTTCCATTGAATTTTCAGGACTGCCCTTCCCTGCTCTTGGTTGAGTAATGGGAGTCCTTCTTTGCAAAGCTAGATAGGATTACTGCTGTATGCTGCTGCAGCGCTAAGCCCTCGGAAGCCAAACTGCTGATCAGCTGGGATTGCAGGCTTGGATGATCACTGGACAGCCCTTCTTGACTTATGGAAAGATCAATCAACTGTACTCTGGGAAGGAGGCTTTGAATGGGCGCTTACCATGTCCAAAGTAATTTTTTCCCCCAGAGGTGAGAGGCCTGGCATGTTGTCCCCCCCCCCTTTTTTAATGCACCATGAACCTCTTGGCCTTTCACATAAGATGTCAGCGTACAGTTCTCATACAATCAACTAGACACTGATCCCTTGATACCCCTCAAGGCAAAGAATGGTCAGCTCCCATATTGATAGAGAGGCCATGGTCTTTTCCAGGCAACTGACTTAGGGACCAGCAGTGTGGCGGAAAGAATTTGACTAGCTAGATCATTAGAAATACAAAATCAAAATGAGCAAGTCAATGTCTTTCTGAAAGAATGTTACGATTTCTTAAGCCAGTTTGGTGTAGTGATTAAGTGCGCGGACTCTAATCTGGGAGACCCGGGTTGGATTCCCCCCCCCTCCATGTGCAGCTGGCTGGATGACTTTGGGCAAGCCATAGTTTTGATAAGAGCTGTTCTTGAAAAAGAGCAGTTTCTGTCAAGCTCTCTCAGCCCCACCTACCTCACAGGGTGTCTGTTGTGGGGAGGGGAAGGGAAAGGAGTTTGTAAGCCGCTCTGAGACACCTTTGGGTAGTGAAGGGCGAGGTATAAATCCAATCTCTTCTTCTTCTAAGCACTATGATCCCTTGAACAGATGTTCACCTACAAAGATGGAGGCTGAGGGCTCTGCACAGCCAGAAACAGATAGGGACAGAGAACTGTTAACCGGAATGGGGTTCAGCTTGAAGAAAGGAGGCACTGCTTATGTATAAGCTGCTCTCTGGGGCTCTGTTACAGGAGTAACCATTTGCTTCTGATATCTTCTGCTTGCAGAGACCCTTAGGTTAAACAAGTATTATAAAGACATGAAGCTTCCAGTGTTCTTTCAACCCAAGAAAGATAAACACAAGAGCATTGTGCTAGGAACTTCTCAGTGCATGGGGAAACAGAAGTGAACACTACAGTATTTTTTCACACAGTGGTCAGATTCTGTTAGAAGGGTGCTGTTGCCTAGCAGTGAGGACACCACAGCGATGGAACACACATGCCAGTTTGGTGCTTCATAAATACACACTGTGTCTTGTTACTTGTTCATGCATGCTAAAGTTATGAGACTGAGGAGGGTTTTGGACCTGGGCTGTCAACAGCCTGTGCAACCTGACATGTGCACCTTTAAAGAGAAAGATAATACTAAAATGTTGAAATCTCTCAACTTTGGGAAATAAATTTTAATTTATCCCTACAATTATGGCTGTGAGAAAAAGTTTTCATCTCCCCTTTGGAAAGGTCTCAGGGAGTCAGGGTCTGGGTTGCAGCTGTCCATCCCAGTTAAAAATACCACAACCTAAAATGACCACTTAAGACTCCTGGTGTAGTCAGGTCAGCTTTCTCCAGTGCCCTTAGCTAGAGTAAGCAGCAGTATTATTTTAAAGGCAGTTTGTAGCTTTTCTAACAGTGAAATCCCCCCCCCCAAATCAGAGTGGAAACTAAGATGGAGGGTAATTTGGGGAAGAAATGCATTTGCATAATCAACGCCTGCCAAAACAAGCCCTGGAAAGCAATAACCTTGAGCGGCAATTGGGCGATTTCAATAATTTATCCCTTTAATTGGAACTACGAGCCTGGCAGGAGAACAACAAGGAAAGGCACTCTGTAGGCCCAGAAATCCTTTTCAGCGGGGCAGGTTTTTTGCTCAACACACCAAAGCAGCCAGCTATTCCCTGCCCAGTGTGAGAAAGCCTCAAGTCCTGGTGTCTGGATAGTTTAAAGCTGTTTTCCTCATTGCTAGCTAGACTGGGCAAAGCCCCTGCAGGTAGAAGGTGTATCCACTGGCAAATACCCACTTGTTTATTTATTTATTTATTTATTCCATTTACACCCTGCTGTCCCTGCGGACGGGCTCAGGGCGGCTTACAGCAGTGGAAGCTAGCATTGCCAGGTCTCCCCTGGCCACAGGCAGTGGATGGGCGGTAGGACTGCCAGATCCAGGTTGGGGAACTCCTAGAGATTTGGGGGTGGAGCCTGGGGAGGGGAGGGATATCAGTGCGGTTCAACGCCATAGAGTCCCCCCTTCAAACCAGCCATTTTCTCCAGGAGAACTGATCTCTGTAGTCCGGAGATGAGCTGTAGTTCGGGGGATCCCCAAATCTCACCTGGAGGCTGGCATCCCTAGTTATAGCCTCCTCCCCAACCCACGGCAAAGACAACAACTCTTTATGCTTGCTCGGAGAGATTTACAAGGGTGGGGTTGGGGTTCAGAGGCAAAGTATCCCTCTGTATACTCTGAAATACAATTTTTTAAAAATCCCAGCTGTGCATCAAGAAGAGGCAATATTCTGCAAAAGAAGCATTTGCATAGTGGCTGGAGGAAGGAGGAGGAGACAGGGTTCAGTGGCAGAGCATCTGCTTTGCATCTCGCTCAGTCTTTCAAGGATCTCCAGCTTTGCTTAGAACTCCCTTTAAAGTTTGCTGCCTTGAAGGGGAAAAAAGGGAGGGGGCTGCAAGTTACAATCAGTGCCAGGAACCAATTAAGACCACATTTGGGCTTTGTACTTCTAAAAGGGCCACTGATGTTTCTGTTTGCTTTTCAGTCCCAGTAATGCCTCTTTGAAATCCAAGACCTTGACGCATGGCAAGGTTCTAAAGTTATTCTGCCAGCAGTACCTTTATTTTGTGTTACGACTTGAATGTTTCTACACATTTAAGTTCTCTGTGCTCGGCCGAATGGCTTCCCTAGATGCTTTCCAATTTTGTATACACAGAAACAAAAAAAGATTCAAACCAGTTAAGACCAAAGAACAGTACTTATGGACTACCACTACCCTGTGACTGGCAGGAAGAAAGCTCCTTTTTACCCAATATGGCAGAGAGTCCAAGGCTTGAAACCAGGTATCTCATTGGCTGAAGCTGGCCCATAACTCAAAGAACAATCCTGTTGAGCTCCTCTCAGGCCTGTAGGGGAACAGCATTCTCCACCACTGGCTCCTGCAACTGGCAGGCCATAAGAAGCCTCTGCTTTGGCTGGTTCTACATGATTTGAGTGTGGCCCTTTGTCCTTGCTTGGACAACAGACTAGTCTCTTCTGTTTCCTCCTCTTTAGGTTCCTGCTTAAACAGTGTAGATCCAGCAATGGGCAGATGGGATCCTGGCCTGGAAATTCCCAGGTTTGGATTCTGGCATGGCTTGACCTGGGTACCCCACAATACAAATCGATTGGCTTTCAGTACTCACAGGTTCTTGGAAATAGAGCTGATAATCGAAGACCGGCATAGATCTGATCAATTCCATTACATCCACCTTAGGATCTGCAGGCTTGAAGGGTGTATTTAGACTGGCCACTGCCCTAAAACACCACAGTAAGAAAAAAAAAATCAAGAGAAGGGGATGAGACATGCAGAATGGACCACCCCAAAAAATACAAAAAAGGAAAACAATTTCAGAGTAATATGCCATTTTTATAAAGGGAAGAAGGCTGCAGTATAACAGAATGGTTCAGGAGAACACTTTTTATAAAGGGGACAGCAGTGTAGTCCATTCCCCTGTTTGCTTATATATCGTCCTGCTCTTACTGCATTGTTTTCTACTCTTGCAATGCCTTCTTTTTTAACATCGTGATACACGTCCAAATATTTTTTTTGTTGTCCTAGTCCTATTGCATTATTAACTGGATGTCTTATGCTATTTGACTGCACTGATTTACACCGTATTGTTTGCCTTGAGTCTCAGTGAGAAAGGCAAGTTACGCAGTATGTAAATTTCTGCAATGTATCAAAAATCAATGGGGGGGTCACTGCCAGTTTAACAGCACGATGGGAGGACCCTAGATCACCTGTAAAAGAAAGACTGGTGAAGAGTCTTCTTGATCTAGCAGACTAAGGGCCTCAAGAGGCAAATGCAGTCAAAAGAGAACAGCCCTCAGCCAAAATCGACGGTGTGCCAAATTTATTTATTATTTATTTATATCCCACCCTCCCCGTGAAGGCAGGCTCAGGGCGGCTCATGGTCATATATAGAAATACATTGTACAAATATTAAAACAGATAAAACAGTTAAAAACACAACAAAGTGCAAAGTGCTAGCAGTACACTTTTAGGAAGCATTATGTACTATCCTGGTTATCCAGCACTGAAAAGATTTTTAAACAGACAAAAGGAGAAGCAAACCAAAATGAAGGTGATGAATGGTGGGAGGTGTGAATAAATTCATGAATGGTTTGTAGTAGATAAGAGGAAGTACTTCTTTACATGACACAAATAATCCGCGGTCTTCCCTGCTGTAGGACACTGCAACAGCCATGAACACAAATAGCTTTTAGAAATAGATCAGGAGTACATAGTAGAAAAGTTAGTCATCAATGACGATCAGGAAGCATGGTATCCAAGAGGGGCAACCTCCATGTTCAGAGATAACAGCTTAGAGATGTCAAGAAGGCTAATGATGAAGCCTTGGGGGGTCTGTGAGTGTCTACTGGCTACTGTGAAAAAGAGGGGATTCCAAGAGATATGGACCATTTGTATGATCCAGTACTGCTACTGTTCAGCTGAATGCAAAACATTTTGTATGATAAACTGAACAAAAGCAGAAAAATATTTAAATCATGAGACTTCAACAAGTCATGGTTTTCCAGTGGGTTATTATACTGTGACCTAAGGCCACAGTTGGTATGTTTTAATTTCAAAGACCAGGGGGGGGGGGGAGAAAGACACAGAAAACTAACCACGCACAATTAAATAGTGGATGCCAAACTGGAATAAAAAGAAGATGGGTTCCAGGTCTGAAAAAAGTTTGACAATGACTTATTTAAACTGGAAAAGGCACTCAGATACAGAAGGCAGCCGGATCCTGAAAGTTTATTTGTAGTTAAGCATTTCACTTTACTTTGGTTCTGTCTGATCAGCTGAAACCCCAGTGCCCAGTTAATAGATTCCACGGACACCATAAAGCTGATATGTCCATCCCATAAAACAGCCAGGACTTAATCCAACCCACCTACCTTACTCTTTCGGGGTAAAAGAGTGCCATGTTCCACACGCTGGCCCCACCCCAGTCATGGCCAATGAAGACTGTCTGGGAAATCCCCTGGAAGAGAGTGACAGTAATTTAAAAGGTAGTCTGAGGAGCTTTATGCTAAGCAAATAGCATTTTCTCTCGAGTACTGGCCTTCAGCTGGCCAGTTGCAATCTTGCTGAAGGAGGATTGTGCCAGTGGCATCACAGTAGTCTTTTGGAGAAAAGGATAGATGTGGGTTCCATTCAAGACACAAACAGACCACTGTAGAGTTGATACCCCCGGGCTGGGAAATAACTGGAGATCTGGGGGGTGAAGAAGAGCTAGATTTATACCCCGGCCTTCACTACTCGAAGGAGTCTCAGAGTGGCTTACAATCTCCTTTCCCTCCCCCTCCCCACAACAGACACCCTATGAGCAATGCTCCCTCTAAGCTGTGGAGTCTTGTGAGCAAAAATTCTACTTTGTGAGCTACTGGGATTAAAGTTGTGGGTGAGCGATTTGGCTACTGCATAAATTAGTTTGCTCTGGAGACATCCTGCCTGAGCGAAGGCAAAAATGTGTGAGCCAGAGGCTAAAAAACTGTGAGCTAGCTCACACTAACTCAGCTTAGAGGGAATGCTGCCTGTGAGGTAGGTGGGGCTGAGAGAGCTCTTTTGAGAACTGCTTGTGAGAGAATAGCTCTGAGAGAACTTGTAATTGACTCAAGGTCACACCAGCAGCTGCATGTGGAGGACTAGGGAATCAAACCCGATTCTCCCAGATTAGAGTCTGTGCTCCTAACCACTACACCAAACCGGCTCTCAAGCCTGGGAGAGGTAGGATTTGGGGAAGGGAGGAACCGCAGCAGGGTATAATGCCATACAGTCCATTTTCTCCAGGGGAACTGACCTCTGCACTCTGGAGGTCAGTTGTAATTCCAGGAGATCTCGAGGTCTGGTAACCTGTTCTGGGACTGCTCCTGTTTAGATTTCTGGTGGGGGTACATGACAGAAGGCTCCCCTGTATGAAAAATAAATGCTGTGGAGATGCCGACCTTAGATTGCAGATGGTACTGAAGTTGCATAACTGAACTGGTGTTTCTGTGGCACTGTAGCTGAATGGAGGGGGTGGGCAGAGTCTTGATCTTAAGCAGAGTTTCCTAAAAAGTGACCCCTATCGGTTTAAGACTACTGAGCAGGATCCCTTCCCGTCCTGACCAATGTTCCCTCTAAGCTGAGGAGTCTTGTGAGCAAAAATTCTTCTTTGTGAGCTGCTGGCATTAAAGTTGTGAGTGAACGATTTGGCTGCTGCATAAATTAGTGTGCTCTGGAGCCATCCTGCCTGAGCTCACACTAACTCAGCTTAGAGGGAACACTGGTCCTGACACAGTTACTCCATTTCCAAGAACACTCTCTGCCAAGGTATCTTGAAAAGGGGGAGGAAAGGTGTGAGGGAAATTAATTCTAAGCAGCCAGACACTCGCATAACTTAAAAAAAAAAACTCAGACTGTCTCTTTCAAGTGCCATCTGTTTGCACAAGATAGGGCTCCGTTTCCAGAACTCCCTCCTCCAACCTCTTGCCTTGCCTCTTCCAAAAAGCCACAGGGAAGTGGACATGCTCCCACACCGCATAGACCTATATGGGACTTTCTCCAAAACGTCTGGCTTCTGGGTAAAAGCTGGGATATGTCCCAGCTCAATGGGCATCTTCAACAGGAGGTAGGCCCAAGTCTAGGGCAGTCCTCCGTAAAGGACTAGCATTGTGTTAAAGCTTCTTTTCTAAGGGTTGATCTAAGATAGCAGACAAAAAACCTCCCTGCAGACCTAGGCTTTTAAGCCCAAATCACTGAACACCTTTTATTTTATTTTCTGGCACCAGCAAGTCCTTCCCTGTAACATTCTTCTTGTTCAGGGAGTTGGCTCCACAGAATGCCAATCCCCCAGCCTCCCGCCCTAATGCCCCCTGCGCCTACCCACCTTTTAGCATTCCGGTCAGCAAAAGGGGGGGGGGGGGGACCAGCATTTCTACCTTAAGCCCCTTAGGCTTCTGAAGACATGGGTATATGAGTGTTTGAAATTAACCATGCCAACAGGAACTGGAATGATTTCCTCAGTGTACTTTCAGGGCAAATAGACCAACAGATAGGACTGCCAACCTCCAGGTGAGGCCTGGAGATCTCCCAGAATTGTAACAGATCTGCAGACAGCAGAGATTAATTCCCCCTGGATAAAAAGGCTGCTTTGAAGAGTGGACTCTATGGTATTGATCATAATAATGCCAAGGTGGTATATCTCATCCTCCCTAGGCTCCACCAATGCTCTCTCTAAGCTGTGGAGTCTTGTGAGCAAAAATTCTACTTTGTGAGCTACAGACATTGAAGTTGTGAGCGAGCGATTGGGCTACTGCATAAATTAGTTTGCTCAGGAGCCATCCTTCCTGAGCTAAGACAAAAATGTGTGAGCCAGAGGCTAAAAAACTGTGAGCTAGCTCACACTAACTCAGCTTAGAGGGAACACCCCCCAAAAAAATCTCCAGGAACTTCTCAACCTGGAGTTAGCAACCTTACCAAGAGGTCATGATGAAGAACAACACCCTATCCCTTCACTAGGGAAGGATGAGATACATTTGTGCTTGAGTACGACTACCCTGCTATTGTGCTGTGGCTCTTGAAGCACAGGCTACATTTCCGTTGTTTCTGATGTGCAGTATATGCTAAGCAAGACTCCGAGGGCATAAGCTGCCACACCCCCAGCTTGCATCAGCTTCTAGCTCCGTGCGCCTAGGCATCACAGCCTCTCCCTGGGCACCAGACCCCAGGATATACCTCCTCAGCAACCACTTTCCCCAGCCAGTTTTTGACCAAATGGGCTCCTTTGCTTAGTAGTTTGCCCAAGGTGTGAGCCGCAAGTGAGATGACTCTGGCTCCTGTAGGAGCAGTGATAAAAATGAAGATCCAGAACAACGGGGGGGGGGGGGGGGGGAGAAGCAACAGGAAGCAGGCTCAGGAAGATGGAGAGCTTCACAAAGGGGGAAAACAAAGCAAACACAACTTTCCTTCAACGACTGTATCCCAGAAGTTTCTCAAGGCCAGTTTTCAGAGAATGAGTTTGCACAGTAGAAGTCCTTCCAGAAGAAGGCTCTCACATATTTAACAACTTTCTGAAAAAAGGACACAAATGGAACTTCCATCTAAGAACTGACACGTTATAATGTTACAAGTCTGCGTTCAATACCAGATTGTTGTCTGACAGTATGAAGTTGACCAACTGTTAGTTTAACAGCGCCGGTTCTGTTAACCCACGTAACCAACTTCAAGTCACTGAAAAGTTGGCTGCTCAACAGGGAACCTAAAATGGGAGCTGCCATTATTAAAATGGATCCAAACCATGGGACCGGTACAAAAACACACCCTCCCCACTCACAGCAGGGCCCCTTTGGTGAGCAAAAAGGCACTTTTGGATCTAGCCCATTGAGGTCTGCACATACAGGCAAGGCTGCCACCAGAAGAACAGGTATTGTTAAACACAGAACAGATGTGTGAGGTCCAACCCTAGAAGCGTCTACTGAAAGATTGCTAGTATTTGAAATGGGCCTAAGCCACATCCAGGTCTTAAAGATACTGTAGAAGGTCAACACAGGTTACTACCATACCTTTAGCAATCAACTTGGGGTGCGTGCGTGTGTGTGTGAGAGCCAATGGGTATAAAATTAGGGAGGCTAAAAAGTAATAGAACACCCAGCCAAAGATAATAAAAATAAACAAAAAAACCCAAATCTACAAAAAGACCAATAGTTCCAAACACATTTGATTAGGTTTAATGCAATAACTATTTTAATTGGACGGTGCCCCATGCCTGTCAATCATCCACTGGCTTCGCACTCAGTAAGAATACTGGAAAATGGGAACAAGGGTCCCCCCCCCCTTCATTGAAACTGGAGAAAATCCTGCTTGAATGCTGTTTCTTTGGTCTCTGAAAGCAGACAGCTTTGAACACTCCCCTGGCCCATTATGTTTAATGTTTTATTTAAAAGGTATGTCTCAAAGTCGCTTTATATCAGAACAACCAGTGATTGCACCGAATATACAGCAGATCAAGAAACTGCAACTGCAGGAATGAAAACTTCAAATTTTCTTTATAATGGAAACTGAAAAGGCGTGTCATTGTTAGGACATTCATAACCTGCCTTTCCAAATATGCTCACTGCAATCATAAAAAGATAATAACATCAACATTAACCAAACTGTGAAATACCAACACAAAAACTTGCTCACTTCTATTTGGACCCTCCTCCCATAGAGCTTTGTTAAAAGAACTTGTTAGCAAAGCCCTTAGGTTTAGCAAACGTGACCATCAACAACAGGAGAGATGCTAGCCAGAAAAACTACTACAGCAAAGTCTCATCTGATGAGCAGCGGTTCTTCAGGGAGCCTAGGCAAAGGACAACTGGCATCTGAGCACCTTTGACCTGGAGATGCCAAAGAGCCTGGGATCTTCTGCACATAAAGCACATGCTCTGCACCACATTGGGTGCTAGAGACATATGGGCTTTAAAGTGCAGCACCGACACCTTGTCACAGGGCCAGAAAGTACAGAATGGATTGGCCAGAAAGATACGGCAAGGCAGGTCGTCAGTGCAGGCATGCAGGAGTACACGCTGTCTTTAAGGGCAGCCCTACATAGAATATGATGCAGTAAATCACCTGAGAGGTTATAAAAAGGCACAATTAAATGTTAATATCCTTAACTGCCTACCAAAAGATACATCCACTGCATTAGACGAAAAGCACTTCGGTCTATCACTGTCAGCAGTTTTGACCAGCAGATCCAAGAGCACACTCACACCATCTACCTGTCCCAGTAGCATTATGCATTGTTCACTGATAACAGGTAAAACCCTTTTCCCCAACACCCTCCCCTCCAGCGTCATTTCATCTTGCCTTGATTCATCATCCACAGCTGGTTCACACTCTTCCATCTGATGTTGATTTAGTCCTGACTGAGATAATTCAACACAGACAGATGCCATCAGCTCTTGCATTTTAATCCTAAGTGCCATAACCAGTCCCCAGGACGAAGTGCCCACAGCC